AATACATAATAATAATTAACTATAATAATCTTCGTATTTCATTCTTTCATTCTGTCTGTCCACACATTAAAGATAATTTTTGTGTATGCTTTTGTTTTTTTTTTTTCTTTAAAAAATATTGTTTAACAAATCAAATGCAGGTCTTTTTTCACGATTTATAATAAAATAATATTTGAAATTAGAAAATTAGAAAATATTATAAAAATTATGATTAAGAAATAAATTTTGTTTATTATTTGCTTTTTTCTATAACAAATTTCGTTTGACTAATCTAAATTATGAAAATTTTTTCTCTTTTTTATTTATAAAAATATTAAATAAAAATTCTTAATTGTTAAAAAATTATGTTTAAGAAAAAGGAAATATACCCATTTTATGCATAATTTTTATTTCTCAATAAAAAAATTCTTCACAAACTCATTCTTTTCTTTTGGGGAGAAAAACATTACATATTCAAAGTTTTTTAAAAATAAAAGAAAAAAATGTTTATAAATTCTATTTGTCAATTAAAAATTTTCTTTGAAAATGAAATTAAAAATTTTTGTATTTTTAGAAAATAAAGGAAAAACTTTTACTAAAAAAAATGTTCTGTTACATTTATTTACGAATTTCTTTCATTGTAAAATTATTAATTAATATAATTATAAATTATAAATTAATTATAAATTAATATAATTATAAATTATTAATTATTAATTGTAATTATTCGAAAACATCAAAAACTCCTTTTTTAAAATAAATACATTTAATTATTATTATTTTTCTACAGGAATTAAAATATTCAAAAAATTTCAAATTCAAACCTTTTTTTAAATAAAACAACTTATAAAAGTATTGTTATAAAACATGAAAAAATTGATTGCTCCGAGTCGAAGACTCGGAGTGATCGATTTCTTCATGTTTTATAATAATTAAAAATGACCGAGTGATAAAATCATTATTTTATATTATAAGAATATTGTAGACTGTAACTTCTTTAAAATTATTTTTATCTTTCAATTCAATTATTATTTTCTAGAATTTTTAATTATTTTTTATGAAAATAATTGAATTCCTTAAAAAAAATTTATTATTTATGAAAATAATTTAATTATTGCAAAGAAATTTATAAAAAAATTTGTAAATAATTGAATTCCTGAGAAATTTTTATTAGTTATGAAAATAATTAAATGTTTGCGTATAATTTTATTAAAAATTTTTTTAAACAATTTAATTCTTTTTGGGAAATTTTATTAAAATAGTAGATACCATTGAAAATCGTTGAAATGAGAAAAATGCATTTTATTTTTGAAAATAATTGAAATTAGGACAAGAATTTTATTAACATTTTTGAAAATAATTGAACTTTTGTGAAGAATTTTGTTATTTATAAAGATAATTGCGATTTTTACGAGAATTTTTTTTTAAATTTTGAACACAATTGAATTTTATTACTTTTGAAAATAATTGAATGTCTGCAATTATTTACAATTTCTGCAAAATTCAATTTTTGTAGTGTTTTCAACTAAAATTTGAATTAAAATTTGTTTAAATTCTATTATTTTTAAAGTTGTTAATTTTATTTAAAAAAGTAAGTAAGAAGTTAGAATTGTTGCTGGTCATAATAATAATCAGTTATTTGTGACAAATTATTTATCATAAGTTATTTTTGATAAATTTGTTAAAAGTAAATTAATTATCATTAATTGTTTGCATTAAATTATTTATAATAATTAGGCTACAATTAATTATTTACAACTAATTATTTATAATTAATTGTTAACAACTAATTACTTATAATTAATTGTTAACAACTAATTACTTATAAATAATTCATTGTTATAATTAATTATTAACATTTAATTAACAATAATTAATTGTTTATTATAATTTATTTTTAATAAGCGACTCGTACTTAATTGTTTACAACTAATTATTTATAACTAATTATTTGTACTAATAATTGTTTACAGCGAATTATTTATAACTAATTTAAATTAATTATTTATAACTAGTTGTTTACGACTAATTATTTATAATTAATTGTTTACAGATAATTATTTATAACTAATTTAAACTAATTATTTATAATAAGTGGTTTACAACTAATTATTTACAACTAATTGTTTACAAGTAATTATTAACCTTGAATTATCAACAATAAAATGTTTACCATAAATTATTGATAATATATTATTTGCAACTTTTATTAATTTTTATTATATTCATTATTTTAAATAATTTAATATTAATATTAAATTTTTTTTATTAATATTATTTAATTTATTATTATTCGAATTCTCAAGTAATATTATTCGATGCGACAGATTGTTAATCAACCATTTTAGAAAACAAAAAGCCTCTTTCAAAAGACAAAAGTCATGACAACAATGAGAAGTTGTAACATATAAAAAATTATCTTTTAAATTTTGTTTTCTCAATTAAAAAAGAAGTTTCCAAGTGAAAACAAGAGATGATGTAAGAATTTCTAAACTTATAAATATTTAATTAACATAAATATATGTATATATAAGTCGAACACAGAGTGTAACAAAATTTCCTGAGCAAACAAAATTGAATAGACTATTGTTAATTTTTGAGAATGTGAAAATAAAAAAATAAAAGAAGAGTGAGTTTGGCTACTTTAAAAAAAATGAGATTCTATCGCAAAAAAAACTTGGTTACAAGAGAGCAATTATTATGAATTACTGCTTTTTTCACTGTATAGTGCGAATATAAATAATGAAGAACATTGTAATTTCACTTATCTTTTCTCTCTCATTAGGCAATTGTGTTTTTTTTTAAATTTTTACAGTTATATGCATATTCATAGGGATTATTGCAAGTTACACGGAAGAATAATAGAAATTGAAGAAGATTAAATATGAGCAGTGGGGGGAGTGACTCCTTAATAAAAATATTAAATTGTATTTGCTTATTCTACGAGAGAAAGTGTATATAGGAACTAAAACGCTTTTATTGACTATTTTCCAAATATTACGGAAATATTTATCGTGATGTTTATCTGAACGCGTGAATTTATGTTTTTTTGTTGGAGTTTATTAATTTTAAAAAATTAATTTGGTTCGAATTTTTTTTCTTTTCTAAATTGGTTAGTTTTGGAAATTTTTTTTCTATTTATCAGAAAATTTTAATAGGATTGAATGGAATATTTCATTTTTATTTTCCGCGTATATTCTTTTTGTGAATATTGAAAATATCACAGTTTTTGTTAGGATATTAAATTGAGACAAAAAAATGTTGCGAAGCAACATTTTTGGTACGTTTTTTGTCTCAATTTGATATCCTTAGAAAAACTGTGATTCCATTCATATTTCAGAAATATTACAAGGTCCAAGATTTGTAATGTTACTTTTGGAATATTTTTTCGAATATTTCATTAGAACATTGGGAATATTCTATCCATGTTTCAGGATTATTAAAAAGTTCTGACAATCTTAAATATTCTATTGGAACGTTGGAAATATTCTATCTATGTTTCGGGAATATTAAAAAATCTGACTTTTGAAATATTTTTGGAATATTTCATTGGAATAATCTATTCGAATATTTTTTTTAAATATTTCATTGGAATATTCTATTGGAATATTCTTTTGAATATTCCTTTGGAATATTTGGAATATTCTATCCATGCTTCAGGGATATTAAATATTCTTTTGGAATATTCTATTTGAACATTCAAACTATTCTATCCATGAATCATCAATATTAAAAAAATCCGACATTTTTAATGTTCCTTTTGGAATATTCTATTGAATATTCCATTCGAACATTGTAGGAATATAGCATTGGAAAACTAAAGGAATATTCCATTGGAATGACGTAGGAATAATTAATTTGCAAAATAAATAAATAATTTATTAATAAAGTTGAAAAAATTATTACAGTGGCAATAGTAATATAATAAAAATAATATTTCTAGAAAAATCCAATGGAATATCCACGAGATATTTTGATGGAAATTTTTCTTAATGTTTTTAAATTTTTAATATTTACTTAGTTTTAATATTTTTAATATTAGTAGTTTTAATATGAAACTCTCTAAATCTAAATTAATGAAAATTGATCCACTTAAGCATTTTTACTAATTTTTAGCCATTTTTCATTGAAAATTTAGTAAAAAAAATTGCAACTACTGAACAGAACTAAAAATTAGTTATTTTTTCACTGAAACTTTAGTTTAAAAAAATTGTATTTACTAAATAGAGTAGTAATATTCTATTAAAAATTAGTTAATATTTTTATTCATTGAAACTTTAGTAAAAAAAATCCTAACTACTAAACAGAAGATTCTACTAAAAATTAGTTATTTTCTTCACTAAAACTTTATTTAAAAAAGTGGTAAATATTAAAAATCAAATACAAACTACTATTAAAAATTAGTTAATATTTTTTTTCACTGAAACTTTAATAAAAAAAAATTCTAACTACTAAACAGAATAGTAAGATTCTACTAAAAATTAGTTGTTTTTTTCACTATAACTTAATTTAAAAAAATTGTAAATATTAAACCGATAATATTATAAATCAAATACAAACTACTATTGAAAATTAGTCAATATTTTTGTTCATTGAAACTTTAGTAAAACAAAAATTGTATTTACTAAACAGAATACTACAAAATTACTACAAAATACTTGTAAAAATTAATTACTATTTTCTCATTGAAACTTTAGTAAACAAAATTGTAATTACTAGACAGAACACTTCTAACAAAAACTATTACTAAAAAGTAGTTAATATTTTTTTTTTCATTTCAACTTTAGTAACAGAACTACTAAACAGAATATTAAAATTCTACTAAAAATTACTTATTAACTTGTAATTACTAAACAGAATAGTAATATTCAACTAAAAATTAGAGATAATTCGGTGTTATTAAGGAAACTAATTTTTCTTTTAGGAGTTTAATTACGAAATTTTTCGAGAAGCACTTTTAGAGCGGAATTGGAGCATTAAGAATAAATAAACAACTGTTTAAATAATAACTTGAATTTTAGCTCCAGTATCAGGAAGTTATCTTCCTCCATCGACAAGTTACGGAACACCGAATCTAGGAGGTGGTGGGGGCAGTTTCGGAGGTGGTGGTGGTAGTTTTGGAGGTGGTGCACCTTCATCCAGCTATGGAGCGCCTTCAGGCGGGGGCGGAGGTTTTGGAGGCGGTAGTTTCGGAGGTGGTGGCGGCGGTGGCTTCGGAGGTGGTGCGCCTTCCTCCAGTTATGGAGCACCTTCGAGACCATCGTCCAATTATGGACCACCACCGTCCAGGTAATTATCAAATTTTTATGTATTGAATCTTAATAAAAATTTGTAAAAATAATTGAATTTCTACGAAGAGTTGCATTAAAATTTTCAAATAATAATTTAAGTGGGGCCACTTAATTTAAGTAGGAAATATTCTTGGCTCCTATTTGAGTAGGAGCTTTTTAAAATTAGATAACCGTTTTTTCTGTGTAATATTTCACTATTTAAATATAATTGAATCGTTTGAATTTCGAGAAAATAAAGCAAAAAGACTCGAACTTGAAGAGAAATGAAAATCGAATTATTCGAAAAAATTTGTTTTCCTCCAGACCATCGTCGAATTATGGACCACCGTCGGGAGGTAGACCGCCATCCCCCAGTTATGGAGCACCATCGGGAGGTTCGGGAATAGGTGGCGGATTTGGAGGCGGACATGGCGGAGGTGGTTTTGGAGGTAGCTTCGGAGGAGGACATGGAGGAAGCTTCGGAGGCGGTGGTTTCGGTGGTGGAGCACCATCGAGACCATCGGGAAGCTATGGCCCACCGCCTTCTAGACCCTCTGGAAGCTATGGACCACCACCATCCCGACCATCTGGAAATTATGGACCACCACCATCGAAACCCTCGGGAAGCTACGGACCACCTCCCTCGAGACCTTCGGGTAATTACGGTCCTCCACCATCGAGACCATCGTCCAGCTATGGACCACCATCGGGAGGTTCGGTCTTTGGAGGTGGACAAGGAGGTGGTTTCGGAGGTAGCATCGGAGGGGGACATGGAGGTGGTTTCGGAGGTAGTTTCGGAGGTGGACAAGGAGGAAGTTTCGGCGGTAGCTTCGGAGGTGGACATGGAGGAAGCTTCGGAGGCGGTGCACCGTCCCGGCCATCCGGAAGTTATGGCGCTCCTCCTTCTAGGCCTTCGGGATCTTATGGAGCACCATCCGCTGGAGGCGGTGGTTTCGGAGGTGGCGCTCCATCCTCCAGCTATGGTGCACCTTCCTCCGGAGGTGGTTTCGGCGGAGGTTCCGGATTCGGAGGTGGAAGGTAAGAAAACTTCTTGCAAACTAATTCTTTCCTAATTACCTAAAATCGTATTTTTTTAATTACTATAATCAAAATCTTGTTTTCTAATTACTAATTACTAATTAAAATCCTGTTTTCTAATTACTAATTAGTAATTACTAATTAAAATCCCGTTTTCTAATTACTAATTAGTAATTACTAATAAAAATCCCGTTTTCTAATTACTAATCAATAATTTCCTTTTCAGTTCCGGTGGTTACTCCGGAAGTGCACCATCGTCCAGTTACGGTGCACCAAGTGCGGGTGGAAGTAGCGGAGGTCAAAGTTACGCCAGTAACGGAGGTTACCAATACTAAAAAATTCAGATTCACTTCTTAGTGAATATTCTGAACGACGCTAGATTCATAAAAAAAAAATCTGGTCAATTGAAGTCACTTCGAAATTTTTTTTTTTTTATTGTCAAGGACGTTTTATCACTGCCACTATTTGTATAAATCCGCTCGATCATTGAAAATTCATCATCAACTTCTAATTTGCCATATAAATATATAAATAAAAATTGTTTGAATTTAAGAGAGAAAAAAAAGATAAAGAATGTCAATTGACCATTGAACATAAAAAAAGAAGACGTCCAAAGAAAAGGAAAACCAATTAGAAATTTTATCGTAAAATTTGTATTCAAGTGGATTTCCGAACTTGAATGGAGAAAAGAAATTTTTTTTTTAAAGACGAGAGCGGTTTTTTAAATGAAGGAAAAAAATGAAGCTTTTCCTCCAGCACACTTGTAATTTATTTATTTTGTAAAAAAAATATGCTTTTTGTACTAATAAAATTGCTACGCTAAAAATATTTTTCTCTTTCAATTATTTATTATTTGGAGGAATATTCGTGATTCACTCAAAAAATTATAAATGTTCCTAATTCATTTATTTACGAATAATAATTCAAAAACAATAATCTTATTTTTGTATTTGAAACATCAATAGTTTTTTTTGATAAATATTTAATTAGGTATTAATTTTTTCTCATAGGAATTGCGATTTTAAAAAATTGCAATTTTCAAAAGTTTTGTACATAATTCGATAAATAATTTATGAAAAATTGCTAGCAAAAATTATTATTAACATTTATATTCAAATATTTTCTAAAATATCTTAATTAAAATTCTTCGTTAAATCAATTATTTTTAATTATTTTCAACAAAAAAAAGTTGTTTGATAATTCAACTATTTAAAGAAAGAAGAAAATTCTTAAATTTACTTGTTTTCAATTCAATTTTACGAAATTTCAGTTATTCGAAATTTTTTTTAATTAAATATGTATTAAAAAAATCAAGAAATTTCAAAAAATTTGAATAAACATTTTACAAAAACTGCTTCAAAATATTTAATTAAAATTTTTCAAATTCAACTTTTCTCAAATTTTAATTTAAAACCTCTTGAAAATTAAAATTAAAGTTTACTTAAAAATAAATTGAAAAATTTGATTAAAAAATTAATTACTAATTATTTACTTATTATTACTTTTCTTATTAAATTAGTTCAATTATTTTTAGTTCGCAAAGAAAAAACGATATTTTTCATTTTATTTAACGTGAAAGTGAAAATAGACGATAGGCAAATTAGACAAATGTCAGGAATATGTTTTTTTCATTATTTATTTGTTTTATAAATTTTATCACACTTTCTAATCTTAAGTAGAATTTTTATTTTTTATATTTACTTACTTTTACTAATTAATTAATAATTTTAACAAAATTTTAAATATATATTTTTAAATTTTTCTAATTTTTGTGTACAATTATAAAATTTCTGTACAATTTTCAATCCTTTTGCTAATTTTCTAACATTCTTTATATATTTCTTTTTTATTTATTTATTATTTTTTTATTTTTTTATTTATTTTTTTTTTTATTTATTTTTTATTTATTATTATTTAATTATTATTATTTATTCTTTATTCTTTATATTTCTTCTTTAATTTTCTAAAAACCTAAGTTTACAGTCAGTTGAGATTATTTAAGGAAACTACTATATAAAGCAATAATTAATTTATTAATTGTGTAAATATTTTCCGTTTTAAATTACAAAAAAATATTTCCGTTTTCAAAATTTTCCAATTAAATAGAAATTAGAATTGCATTTTATTTAGAATATTTTACTCATATAAATCAATTTAAAATTGAATTAAATAAAAAACTTTTAATAAATTCCACCTCACTGTCAATCTGTGAAAAGTTTGTAACATTTACGGTATTTTTGGAATAATTTTCCAACATTGTGCGGGTAAATTTTTGATTGCATATCTCAAGTCAAAAGTGATGATAATTAAAAATTTAATAACTATTATTTTTCATTTTATTTTCATTTTTTTTTTTTTTTTTTGATGTAAAATAAATTTAATCTGACGTAAGTTTAGTTTGATGGTGTTAGCATCGGACGGTCGATTTATCGATTCAAACGAGTCGAATGCCAGGACCGCATGAATAACCAAGAGGTCTTTCTATTTCTGTTTGTAACAAAAATCCACTAATATTATTAATATCGAAATCTTTTTCTATCCTTTTATAAAGAGAAGTCGAGAAAAAAAAGCCAGCACTAAATTCCCTCAGATAAACTTCCAAATAAACTTGTGTAGCAAAAAACAAAGAGAAACAAAACCAAAATTGCTATATATAGAGAATATTTTCTTACCTAATCGATGATTTCTCGGGAATTGAAATTTTGAAATTCCTTTCTTGAATTCCAATATCTGCCTGTATAGACGTGAATAAAATAAATTCAGTGGAAATGAAATAAGGAGGAAGAAACAAAAAGCAAACCAGAGTGGAAGAAAAGAAAATAAATTGTACAACTTTCACGTACATTTAAATTTTCTATTTACTCAAAAGGAATAATTTAAGAGGATGCAATAAAATAATCTACTCCTTTAAATCTGAAACGATTTTTAACTAAGTCAAGTGAATTTTCAAATTTGAAAAATTATATCAGTTGCCAAAAAGAATTTTTAAGTTTTTTCAATTTAGAATTTTTTTTCACAAATTTCTATCACTGAGAAAAAATATTTCCAACTAGCAAATAAAAAATTATTTATTTACGAAAACTTTCTGTAAACAAATTATATTTGACAAGAAAAAATTATTTTCTATTAAAAGTAAAATGAATTTTTGTTTAGTTTTGTAAACAATTTTTTTTTAATAAACAAAATTATTTGGTTTCGCTTGATATAATTTTGCTATTTGTATACTGAAAATAAATTTTTCTTTTCACTCAATCGAATAGCTTGGATGAGTCAACAAAAATTATTCACATTTCAAAGCAAAAATTTATTGCCTCTCAACAAAATTATTTGATTATTCGAACAAAATTATTTGATTCTCTCAATTAAATTTTAGTTGTGTATATTAAAATATTTTTCTCAGTGTGACTTTGCTTTTAAATTTTTGCATTCTAAAAAGAAGATAAAATATTTTTTTCTTTATTCGAAAAATTTGTCCTCTTTATGAAATTCAATTTCAGATTCAGAGAAAATTTTATAAAAGTGCAGGAAAAAAAATATAAACTTTTACTCTTTGCAATGTAAAATCTAAACTGTTTTTCAACTTCTGCGAATTTTTTTTATACAGTCTTTACAATTTCCCCTAATAAATTTTATTAAACTCAAATTTAATTAATTTAAAGTTAGTAAAATTAATTTCTGAAATTGTAAAATTTGACAAAAGTTCTAAAAATTTCCTAAGCAGTTTATTTTTTACTTTGTCAGTAAATTTATAGTAAAAAAAATAGTGGTTATTATTAAAAAAAATAGTGGTGATTATTAAAAAAATTGTAGTGGATTATTTGTAGTAAAAAATAGTAGTAAATTATTGGTAGTAAAAAAATGGTAGTGAATTATTTGTAGTACAAAATAGTAGTAAGATATTTGTAGCAAAATAATAGGGGTGTTAAAAAATTTGTATAGTTGAAGAGGTACTAAATTATTTGTAGTAAAATAATTAATAGTAAATTTACTCTCGAAATATGAATTAGTTACATTGACTAATGAAATAGTAATAAATTAAATAGAAAATAGTAATAAATTAGTAACGTTTACAAAATAAATTAGTAACTTTAAGAAACAAATTAGCAACCTAAATAAAATCATTACTAATTAGAAGTTTTTGACTGAGAATTACTCAAGTCGTTATTAATTTATTTAATAAATGATTCGATTCTATTTTATTAGTCAAAAGTAACTACTTCTGATTTAGAGAGTATAGTAAAAATATTGTAATTTTATTTTTAAAAAGAAAATTATTTGTAGTGAAATGAATAATAATAGTAAATTTATAGTAAAAAATGTACTAATATAAGAAAATAATTGTAAATTATTTGAAGTGAAAGAAATAATAATAAATTTATTGTAAAAATTATAGTAAAAAAATAGTAGTAAATTATTTATAGTGAAATATATAGAAATATATATTTGCAGTGAAATATATACTTATTAAATTTATAGTAAAAAAATAGTGTAGTAAGTTATTTATAGTGAATCAAAAAATAGTAAATTTATATTAAAAAATGTGGTAAAAAAGGTGGTAAATTATTTGAATTAAAAAAAATAGTAAATTTATTGTAAAAAATATAGTAAGAAAGTAGTAGTAAATTATTTGAAGTAAAAAAAATAATAGTAAATTTATAATAAAGAATATAGTAAGAAAATAGTAGTAAATTATTTGAAGTGAAATAAATAATAGTAAATTTATAGTAAAAATTATAGTAAAAAATAGTAGTAAATTATTTTTTATAGTGAAATATATAAAAATATATATTTGTATAGTGAAATATATACTTATTAAATTTATAGTAAAAAAATAGTGTAGTAAATTATTTAGAGTGGAACAAAAAATAGTAAATTTACAGTAAAAATATTTTTTTCAATTTTAATTTTATTTAATTTACCACCATATTAATAAGAAAATTATTAGTAAATTATTTGTAGTAAAAAAATTGTAAATGGTTTTTAGTAAAAAACTTGCAAATTATTTGTAGTAAAAAAATTGCAAATTATTTGTAGTAAAAAAATAATTGTGAGTTTATGATAAAAAATACCTACTATAGTAAATTATTTTTATTCAATTCAATCGAGAATAATAAAAAATAATTTTTGGTAAGAAGGAAGTAAATTAGCAGTAAAAAAAATAATAGTAAATTATTTATACAAAAAGTAAATCATTGATAAAAAATAACAGTAAATTATTGACATTTAAAAAGTAATAAATCATAAAGAAAAATAAATAAAATAAATCACTCAATTAAATAAATTACCAAATAAAATTTCCCAAATTCCAAAACTTAAATTCCCAAAAAACTGAAAATGGAAAAAAATCAATATAAAGGATGAGAATTCCTTTATTTTTTTATACACCGTTTATTTTTAACATTTACAATCAACGTCTCGGTCATTTACGCAATTATACACACGTATAATATATTTATGTATATATTTATATCATATGGTACAATACTGAGTAACTTATTTATTTATTTTTTTTTTTCATTAATAAGTATACTTCTCCGGGGTAAATCGAGCCTTTATACATGATCGATGATAAACAATGTTAAAACACTTTCTCTAAAGGTAGATACCTCGACATTGAGGCATAACGACGTTTAGGTACGTTTAGGTACACAGTTGGGATCGCATAATTTTTTTTTCCTTTTTTCTTTTATTTTTTTCGTATATTTTTTTTTTTTTTTATTTATATTATAATTAAATAATTTATTTATAACTTTCTTAAAAGTGTCAAGCGCGCGGTGTCACCCTGACGAAAATTCAAAAGTAGGAGGTTCAAGGTTTTTCTTGTTACC